AAAAAATGTTGTTGTCATTAATGCTGCGGTTCAAATTTCCTGGATATGACAAATGAGAGCTAAAAAAAACAGAATAAAAGAACACGGCCCCCCTCTTTCTTTAACAAGCCTCGTTCAGGAAATGAGAGGGCTGTCCTTTTGAGTTGAATGCGCTGGCTTGAAGTGTTATCATTCTCAGAAAATAACAGCAAGCGGTAAACACAGCTGCAGCGTAAGCCTGTTCAAAGACAGTCGGCGAAAAATACAAATTGGGGCCACATTGTACGTGCGGCGGTGTGGCCGTGTTCAGCCAGAACAGAAGAGCAATGGGCAATGGTGCTTAAATATTGATGGTGAGAATAAAATAAAAAAAATTATTTAAACAAAATCCTTTTCGAACAAACATCCAACACAATTTGATTGCAAAATGAAAGCATCTGACGTATTTTTTCAGTTCCGAATGCCACGCCAAAGTGGCTTAACATGGCAATTAGGTGCTAATAGAACATTAGGAATAATTTGGAAAGACCAATACTAATAAAACAATTAACAGATGATAAATGCGCTTATATTCAGGCTAGAGCCCTTTGAGACTCGAAGTTTATTTTACCTCAGAAGTCTGGGTTGTAATCGGGTTAAACATCGGAAGCCATTGCGTTTATACATCTGACACATTAGACTTTCCAGAAAGTTGTACAAAGAAATTCAAATGAAAAATTCAGGTGGCAAAACTTCTGTTAATATCTCTCCAACAAGTGGGGTGTACTTTATTTGCTTTCAACGATTTTCTAGTTTCCAGTCAAATTCATGGGAAGGTAACACACCTGTTAATCAAATAAAAATGCTCGGTCCAATACTATGTGCACAGTGTTTTGTCTCCACCTACTGGCCAGCGATTGCCATTTTTTTCTTAAAATTGTACGCGACGCAGGGCAAGCAAAGAAAAAGGGCTCAGAGGTCAAAGGTGCTGAGCCGGAACCTGGCAGCTGCTTGTGATTAAATCGGTCTCTCAAGTGTAGGCGAGAAAATGATCTCAGTTCAGTCACCGATAACCACAACAACAACAAAAAGGCCATCACATTAAACAATGTTTGCTCTTCACTCATTTTGGCTAAAGTCCCAAATCTGAGATATAAAAAAAAATATTTTGGCTTAACTATCACGTGCTAAGATATTGTTTTTTTGCATCCAGGTGTGTGGAATAGTGGTGACTTAAAGTGAACTAAGAAGTAAATCTGTGATATCCACTGCTGAAATAATGCTCGAAAGAACATTCAGGGTAGAAACTGAGAAAATGCATGCTGAATTTTTTTTCATATTGTATTACTTTTCGCGCAATAATAAATTTTGATTTCCATCTGGTCTCGCGCTGCCGCTCGCCAATCGCGAGCGCCTCCTCCGTCCCTCCCCAACCTCAACAGCAGTGCACAGCACACGACTACAGCAAAGAGCTGCACTTCATCGCAGCATTTGCAGAGTGGCGCCCTCTAGCAATGAAACCAAGTTATTTGTGGGGAGGGCGACCACCGCCTCTAGGCAGCTAAATATGTACACTGAACACGTGTTTCCAAATGTGGAGGGGGAAAAACCCCGGGGGATCCGGAGAAACACCACACAACTACGGGGAGAACATGCAAACTCCAAATATACAGGCATCAGGCTTGGGTTTGAACCCACAACGTCACGACCTCCAGTATGCCAGGCGAGGTAGTTAACATCTTGCCACCATGGCCTGGCGAGATCTGACTTAGCCAGCAGCCTTATAAGTCATTATCATTACTAACATGGTCACTGTTTCCACAGACTTCAATCCATGCTGCATGTCACAACATTTCTCTTTCTGCCCTTTCCTCGCTCAAGTCAAGAAATATATGAACTCTTAACCGTTACATCTTCAAAAGTCGTATTTATTCCTGGCCACTTGGCGTTTAGGGGCTCAACAACCGATTGGTCCGAACATTTGAGTACCATGATCCCTCGATGGGGAGACCCTCATTCTTCAGTGCATTGACAAAGGGCTGCACATTTTTAAAGAGCATTTTTGAAAGTGATATCACGGATAACGGCAAGTGGTTTTGATCACGGTATTTCACTCTTTTTTGTTGGATTTGCAATTGATAATTGTTTTTTTTTCTTTTCTGTAACTGTGCAACGTATTTGTTTGCTCTTTCCAAGAGACTGAAAAATTACGATTTAAGAAAACGGTTCGGAGTGAACCGACCTTGTTAGACAAAGTGAAGGAGAGATGACCGCAGTGGTTCGAACCACATTACGAGAATGAGCCCGGACAGGATCATGCCCGCAGCGCTTGACGATGCGACACACAAGTGGGAGAAACAAACGAGTCGGGCGAGACGGAAAACCACGCGGCTAGATGCAGCGGGGTACAAAAAGACCTCGGAGGCGACAGGTTGAGATTGAGCGAAGCAGCAATAATGACAGAAGCAAAAGAACCACGGTGGAACTTTATGTCACCTGGCCATCGCTAACTAGCGAGCTGAATCGACAGATGGAGATGATGAAACACAGGTCTCCCTTGATGATTAAGAGACTTGAGGCCTCAGCAGACCCTCATGTACACCCCTTTTGTCAATCCACTGCTGGATGTGGGCCTCCCCATGTCGAGTGGACCATGGGGGCTTATTTACCAGACTTCACCACACTGGTCGGCAGGGGTTGATGAAGGTGGAGAGCAGAGATGTGGGAGCATAGAAAGTACATTACCACATTGGATGTATTACTGCACTGCTACGATCCCTTGCCTGGTCATGAAGACCCGATGCATATACATTTCACGGTGTTATTGCACTGGGCCACCGAACACATCAGTGCACCACAAGATATTTCCACCATGGGACGGAATTTCAGAAATTTAGCTGGAAGAATGTTTTGTGGGTTCTTGTTCAGGGCCGCACCCACAGAAAAAAGACCCTCGGTGGTAATGAACTCATGCACAAACATGTGCACATTCCATCCCAAAGACAGACCCCAGGCAATCATTAAAGTGTCCACGCACACCACCAACTGCCCATATATAACTGAGCAGAGGCAATTGTGCATTTGGTGAAAACATTACTTTTAAACACCCCCAACGATTTTGCATTAACTAACAAGAGGAATTGTTTAATGGGCTCTTAAAACAACACTTAATGAATTAGAGATGGATAATGACCTGCAGTTATACAGTTGTAGTTATACTATCAAATGTATGTAATAGTGTAGAGGGTTTGTTTGTCAATCCACTGCTGGATGAATGTCTCCCCATGACGTGCCAGTCATGAGGAATGTTTGACCATACTTCATGATGCCGGTCACTGTGGGTCGGTGAAGGGGCGGTGGTCACGACTGGTTCATATATCACCGCTTGCTACTGATGATGTCAGCTGTTGCTTGGAATCGAACTCAGGTCGCCTGGTTTCATATCGGAGCGCACGAATCACCGCGCCACCGAGTCCCCATATAATTTACGTACAGCACTCAGAAAGGACACGGCGATTGAATTCTGTCATTTTCAATGGTGGCACTAGCTCTGGGCTCAGAGATCATATTCATCACAGAACCACTGCAGGAGTGGCCGAGTGCCTACAGAGGGCAGTGAGAGCAAGTGGCATGAGAGATGATTTCCCACGGATCGATTTTCATCTTCCCTGGGAACTGCAGTTTGTTTCCTCTCTCGCACAAACAATATTCTAAGAAGAAACCGGCGAAGAATTTCAAGAAACGCCATCCTGAAACTGACCCTTGAGACTCCTCAAAGCTTTCCTGAGTAAATAACTCAGAGATAAAGTGGCCGTATCGCAAAGTGGCCTCCTTCAAAAGTTTATAATATGTACTGCCCTTTGCCAATCCACTGCTGGATGGGAGGTTGAGCATACTTCCAGTTTAGGTACCATGGCTGGGAGTGGAATGTAGGTCACCAGGTTCACAGCGCAGTGCACTAAACCACTAAGCCAACACTGCCCCAAGGTAGCTTTTTTTAATGACAATTAAAATTCGTTACTCAGCTGGTTAGAGCTAGCAGCTCACAAAAATAGGTATGTCATGTCTTGTTTACGTGACAAACCTTACTAATTGGCTGTGTTGGGTGGTGGCGGGTTTAACGACACATTTATATATTTACGCCATCTAACCCAAAAAACCTGCATTATGGCAAAAGAGGTATGCAAGTTCAAATCCCCGTTGAGGTTCCACTCAGCCTTTCATTCCTCCGGGGTGAATCAAATTAGTATCGCTATTCTATTGATGGACTGGCTCCCTGCAATAGAAATGTGGAATATACACAATTGCTTCTAAGCTCTAAATGAGCACTGCCACTGCTTGCATGAGCAGAAAACAACTTTGACCTTTTAAATATTTGAAATAATTCACTCATCATTGAATTACTTGACATTTGAATTCATTCAAGTCTCAGCCACAGCTGACATCAGTGGTGAGTGACATCTGCAAGGGTCCTGGGCATCCACTTCAATTATGAGTACGATCAAATCATTATCATGGCCGATAGGGCATGCATGGATAGTCGTTTGTTAAAGGGCTATAAGTAATTATTTATAATTTTTGAATGTATCCATTGATTCCCTTGATATTTGAATACATTTATTTATCGTTCATTTATGACATTTAAAAATCAATCGTCGCTTCATCTCACACTTACATTAGACGGTTACCGCATCGCGTGCTTTCAGATGCGCTTCCGTGGCCATCTGGAACACTCTTCCTTCCGATATTAGGAAGCCACTGGAGCTATACACTTTTAAATCATTGAGATTGAAAACTCATTTCTTGAGAACTGCTTTTTGTGTTTAGTTTGTTGTCCCTCCCCGCACCTCCAATTTGCACGGTTGGTTACGTACGGTGCGAAACAAGTTCAACATACATAAACAGATTAATAGAAAAATGAATTGATGAACTTTACATTCATCGGTGGATTGACTTGGCATTTACATTTGTGCGTTCCATTCGTCGGTCACCCTTCCACGTGACGATAGATCGCTGCGCAATCCGTCACCGCTTTCGCTTACCCTGAACGTCGAGCACGAGGTCGTCACGGAGGCGGCTGCCGATGGTGCCGTCGCTGTCGATGTACCACCGCTGCTGCGGTTTGCCGTGCTCTGGCCACAGCACCACGCGCGTGCCCTCGCGCGCCATCCCGCCCACCACCTCCAGGCATGCCTCGCTCGCCTGCGCCACGCCACGCGCCAGCAAATGCAAACATCGACCGTCGAGTCTATAATGCAGTGGTTCTTAACCTGGGGTGAACGCACCCCACGGGGGTAAGAGACATGGCCAGATTTTTTTAGAAGGTAAATCGTCGAAACACAAATTAAGCACGGGCACGTTAGTACAACTACTTTGTTTCATCAAACCGATGTATTTATTAACATTGTACATTGGTGTTACGATTGAGAATCAAAGGGGTGCAGGTTGCAGTCAAGCTTAAGAACCACTGCTCTAATCTCTGGCCTCTCCATGTCTTGCCAATATATACTTTTTCTTTTTGAGATCCGTGTTATTTTTGGAATGTGTTGAGGTTTTTTATTTATTATACGTCTTTGTGCACCCACTGTCAACAAAGTAACACCGACGTATGACAGGCTGTGCAAGCAAGTGCTGATAGCTACATCTATTACAATCTCTTCCAGGCCAGTTTTGTTTACACATTGCTGGCATAAAAATGGGTGTTGTTGCCAGAACTAATCCAGCCACCATCATCTGCCAAGTGCTGATGTTTATACTCCGCACAAGGTACTTTAACGCCGAGTTTCCCTATGGAAGGCACAAAGTCAAAGGTCCCCCGTATAGCCTTAACATACTGCTGGGGCAAGTGATATTAGTGAGCAGCTATGAAGGCCGGCACGGCACACAAGGGGGTGGGTGTGGCCAGCACCACACTCGGCCGCCTTTGTCTCCCTAGCGGCGATGATTACACACCACGCCAGATACCCATTTGAGGCCGAGGTGAAACTAGATGAGGCCCTGGAATGGTTCAGATAATTGTCACTGGTGTTGGCTGTGAGCGGGAATCAAACTCGGGTGGCCAGGTTCGTAGTACAGAGCACTAACCACTGCACTACCGCTCCACACCATGTACTGGAAGGCCTAGTACATGTTCTGACACCACTTGCCACTGATTTTGTGCATAGTCCGAAATATAATTAGAAGTGCAGTGTGTGGACCCACTGTAGCATCGCTCAACGCAGAGATCCCCCCGCATAGCCAAAGACAACTGTTGGGGCAAGTCCTGTTCGTGAGAACCGATGAAAACCAGGATAGTGCACAAGTGGGTGACCTGCAACTCATCAAGACTTCTGATGTTGACCGTGGGTGAAAATCGAACTCGGTTTGACGGGTTTGTAGCGAGGTGCATTAATCACCGCAAATACCGCTCCCCATATTACACAAAGACAAAGACCCCCCGTAAAGCCAACACCACGCCCGGTCACCTTTGTCTGCCTAGTGGAGATGTTTACACATGGTACCAAGATACTCATTTGAGGCTAAGTCGACCTAGGGGATGCCCAGAACCAGTTCAGATAATTTTCACTGGTGTTTGCCGTAAGCGGGAATCGAACCCAGGTCACCAGGTTCATAGCACAGCACCCTAACCGCTGCACTCACGCTCGCCACAACACACACATACACACGAACACATGCACGCACGCACGCACGCATTTCCTACGTACCAAGCTACGCAGGAATCCATCCTGGAAGAGCCAAAGCTGCGTGGATTTGCCGCAATCAGGGAGAAGGCAAACGGACACGCCGCGCGGGTCCGCCAGGTCCCCCTTCACAGTCAGTACGCCGTCCTGGCCCTGGTTCCTAACACGCACGCACACACCCGACTGTGCGTGGGCAGGGGGGGAGAGAGGAGGGGGTGGGGTGTACGCACACACATTAACGCTGGCCCTCTCCACCAGCGTGCCGCCTCCTCAAGCCACTTTGTCGGCAACCTCGTCGCTGGATGTGCTCCGCCAGTTGTCCTCGGCAACTGCCTTTGCACCCAGCGACGTTTCGTATTCATGCTATTTTAAAAAATATATAGCACAAGGCTACCGCGAAGGCACTGTGTTTCACAGACGGGTATAGTCTGTCAATAGGGGGGCGATGTTGCTTCGTGGGTAACTTATGGGATAATTTTTTTAATTTGGTAAATTTGGACCGTGTTACCGGCACACAGTGGCCTACTCGTATTAGAGTGACGTCACGGAATTTTCAACGTCCACTGGGACATAGTCGGTACGCACAAATGACAGCTCAACTAAGTGGCTTGTCACATGGAAATGTATAGCAGCCAGATACTTTAAACGCATGTTTCTAAATATGGAGGGAAAAACCGGAGGACCCGGAGAAAAATTCACGCGACCACGGAGAGAACATGCAAACTCCAAATATACAGGCGTCAGGGTCGGGATCAGTAGGTCCCACTCAGTGATAACATTTTCCAGGAAATTAGTGATATAAATGCGTTTGTCAGTGAAGTGCCTTTCATTTTAGTCAACAGTGAACGATGAGAGTGGACAAAATCACCCAGCAGGGAATGACCCTTCAAAAGATTAAATTAACAACTTGAAACATACCAAACATGGTAATTAGCTTCAAATGTGTTTAACAATTTTGTTTACCGAGTTCACTGATTGGCTGATTTGAAAACATTGGCGGAGGATTGGGATGGGGGAAATTGCATGCCCCTCATACCAACATATTTTTTTGCATGTTTTTACTAATAATAGTTATTATTTTTATTGAAGATCCCAGAACACAGACATGACAGAGGGAGATACAAATTACGAACACGTGTCAAACCCGGAACAATAAACCCTCAAATGGCGTGCCGTGTGGAGCCAGCATTTCATAACTGAGAGCGTTTGACAAAAAGCTTCGACTGCTTTAGTCGACGGGCCTACGAGAATTACTAAATGAAATCCACAGACTGAGACTTGATTAAAATTCCGCAAGGTTGTCATCAACTCGACCGAGACTAGGACTAGAACTCAAAAACGCCGACTCCATCAACACGGGTCCCCACCTGTTTCAGGGGCCGGATGGAACCGAGTCGGCCCCAGGAACTCCGCTGCTTCCAGTCGGGGGTTTCCGACGGCTCCAGCAGCAGCTGACGCCCTTGGAAGTTAGGGAACTCAAACGCCACCCAACTGCACAAGTCAAACAAAAAAAACACAGGGTGATAGTGAGTCGAGCATTCTTTTAGAGCATGGCTTCGCACAGCAAATCACACGTAACTCCGTGCGCCCACGTCTGATAGCCAAGGCACGGCCCCTCGGAGGAATCTGAAGGACGTTTTCAATGCCTCCACTGACCTTGCGAGCGTCACAATGTTTTTGCACGTGCAGTGCCCTTCGGTCTGGTCCCCGTGACACCCGCTTCCTCCTCTGAATGTCCACTTGGAGCTGCCATGGGTGCTACACGGGTCACTTGCTCGAGGGTGTGCCATCGTTTTTGTGGCAGGTTTAAGCCAAGGAGGCCCTCAACGGTTGGGTTGGTGCCGAGACGTTAATTTGGGGCGTCACTGTTCGACCATAACTGTCACGATTGTCCCTTGGGGTAGACGACGGCCTTCAAATTGTAACAGCAAAAGTTAATTGTTCATGTTTGTTGTGCAAAGCGCTTGTGATGAAAAGAGGCAACCATTGAACCGATTGCAGACGAACAGCAATTTATTTTAACTACCAAATTGCCTCAATTAAAATGAGACTTGGCATATGTATGCTACTTCTGGGACTGGCTCAGCCAGTTTGCTACAGTAAGGAAGCTCACGTGTGTTGCCCTCTGACTGCTGTGTTGGGTGCGATGGTTATGCATGCCTGCACAATCGTTCCTCAGTCATGAGCTCCCTATTAACACAAAGAGTAAGAAAATACAATTTAGATTTGGAAAATATTGAACGAGGTAGGTATACATGCGCATTAAAAGGACAATGGGGATTTAAAAAATAAGAATAGGAATTATATATTACTTAGGGGAGGGTTGAGGGGGTATAGAGGCTGTGGGGCGGACAAGGGAAAATTAGCGTATGGTAAAGTGAAGCTGAAGATACTTTGTTGAAGGTAGTCAGTCATACACAGAGGGAAAAGTGAAGGTCTTGAACATTTTCATAGGTTGGGGAGGCAGGAGTTCGCTTTGTCCCTCACATTAGGAATCACGGGTGCATATAATTAATTACATAATTGTAAAATGTTTATTGTAAACTTCTGAAAGTAAATTAATAGTAATCGCGGATGTATATAAGGAATTAATTAATTTTTTTATCTGAATTGTGAACTGCAGAAAATAAATCCATAAAGGTGTTGCGCCCCCCCCCCCCACAAACTCCATGGGGGCAGAGAGTCGGCAATGCAGTCAGTCAAAGGGCTGGGGACTTTCCGAATTACAGCGGCAGCAGTTGTGAAAAAGGAACAACCTCCCATTCGAGGTGGACAGGGGGGGGGGGGGATTCTACATATGGCCTCGGTTACTGGATCGGAGAGCGTGTGAAGGGGGGCAATATTGAGATGATGAAGTGGGAAGGGAAATCAGGGGTGTGACTCCACGGTAGATCTTGTGGAAAATCGCCGCCTTGGTTGCGATGCACGGCAAGATCGCACTGGCAAGACAAAAGGGCTACTGGTAGTTAACCGTCCTTTATCCGGAAAAATAGGAGGGATGGTGACCTGGATAAAAACAAACACAGATTAATATGTAAATTATGCTATACAAATGTTGTTTACCTACTTAGAATTGCGGTGAAGAAGCAGAAAACGTGTCAGTGTTGATGTCTTTTCCTTTTTTGAAAAAATATATTTGGCAAGAACCCAACCGTACAGTCTCCAAACAAAATCCACAACACCGAACTGAACAAGAAGACCGGTTGCCCTAATACCAGACACGAGACATCAAGAGACGGCGACTCAAGACGGCTCTGACACGTACTCAGAATGATGACCCTCTACGATGGACACCACAGGGTAAAAAGAAACCTGGGAGACCAAAGACCACCTGGCGCAAGACCGTGAAGGACGAGCCGGCAGCAGCGGTCAACCTCTTTTGGAGCAAGGCTCAACAAGTTCCCAAGGACAGGAAGTAGTAGTGGAGGGCCTCACGTCCCATAGGGGATGAAGAGCATCAACTCATTAACTAACCTTACAGTCCTTCGAGTGGCATACATGAGAACCAAACGTGCAACGAACAAAGGTATCGTGCTTTCGGGTATGGGACCTATAGGGGAAGGTTGACTTCGCCTGCCTGCCACTGGGGTGGGAGGGGGGGGGGGTGAATGACCGTGTGTAGCGTATTTATAATGGGGTGATATTGTTTCTTAAAGTAATCGGCCACTGGGCGCAAAAGGTGTGAATAAGCAGGGAACGCTACATATTAACATGTTCTTCCTTACTTAGGAAAAGCACGGTTTATCCGCAACTCGGAAGAAACTGGCTACGGACGCGGACTCGGAAATTAGAGCACTCGGATCAGTGAAAGAACCGCCAATCGGAGACATTCACATTCACCGTTACGAGAAGATGGCGTGGGCAAGGTACATTGTTGAAAGTAATGATGGACAAAGCTTAGTATGCCCGAGGAAGGCCACTGCAGAGATGGTGGTAGCAGTGAGATCAGTTCAAATGCAGGAGTAAGACAGATTGTGGTACAGCAGGACTGCATTGGATGGCGAAGATTTGAAGGAGGCCTTCCATTGTTGGAGGCCTTCCTTTGGCCATTGTCTATCCAGAAGTGGATAGAAAATGGCAGCAAAGTGGAAAGCCAATGACAATATCTGATCATGATAATGAATAGGCCTCATCTCGGAGAGATTCCAAGATCCCCACGGATGACAGGGAGTGAGAGCTGCATGCGTACTACGGGGTGTGGCGCGCCGCTTACAGCCCGCCATGGACGTGCAGCGATCGCACGCAGCCTCCACCGCCGAGGGCATCCAGGCTCGGGGCCGCCTCCTCCAGCACCATCTCCCGGCCACGGAGGTCCTCGTGCGAGAAGAGGCTGATGGACGGCTCCGAGAAGACCTGCACGAGCGAGCCGCATTGCGCAGTGAGATGCAGGTGTTTGCTTGCGTCTGTACCTAGCTTATTTTTGCCGACACCTCTTGCTCTCGTAATAATATTTGTGTTTTTTCGTTTTACGACCTCGTTTGCTGGTTGTGCAAAATTCCTCAAGGACTCTGTTGCTTGTTGGTTTCCGCAACGTTGATGCTTTTGTATTTTGCGTTCATTGCTGCTGCGGCTGCGTCTGTGCTCACGCACCTCCGATTAGCACGGTTGGCTACATAGGGCCCGAAAGAAGTTCAACACACGCACATACACGCATACTATGGATCTCCGTTGCAAAATATCCAGGAAGCTGCCTAAACGGGACCATCCGTTCAAGGAATCAAATAAACTCGAACCCGAAAAGCGCAATGCAGCATAGATGAACACTCATGCTTCCACGCAAGGGTCGATGCGTACTGGTGAAGCAAAGTGTAGATATCTTAAGCAAACTAAAGCTCCCAGCATGTGGAGGGACATCCTTTCGTACGATACACTGTATGACCGGAACGCACAGCGGAGAGCTACACAGCACAACCGTAAACACCTACCTAGTAATACAGCAAACATTATTTGATTAATGAATAGGACCAGGGCTTAATTTCACCTGCGTCTCTCACCAAGCAAACGTCTCGCTGTGGTTACTAGTCACGTGGCTACGCCAGTGAATCCGGAACTGGTTGTAGGGCTGTAGTAACAAAAAGGCATGCCGTGGTGTGGAATCAGTAGCTACTTAAGCCAACCATGCTAATTGCACCTCTGATTAGGACGGTTTGCTACGCTCGGTGCGAAAGAAGTTCAACGTACATACATACTTACGATAGGAATTGGCCGAAGAGACTTGATCTGAGCGTCGAGTGAGAAAAATGCTTCTGGGCATGAGTAGCAGCCCTCCTCCAGAATGAATTCCCTCCCAGAGAAGTCCTCGTTGCTGTAGAGGACCCAGCTGCAGGGAGCACAAAACACAGCGAAAAGCCCACGAAGCTATTTGAGCTTATTTTTCAGAAGCGACCTGGCCACAAATGAAAGCTCAATAAAGTGGCTCATCATGTGGGAATTTATAGCAGCAAATGAATCTAAATAATCTAAACGCATGTTTATAAATGTGGAAGGACAAAAAATATCCACGCAACCACAGGGAAAACATGCAAACTCTAAATATACAGGCGTCAGGGTCGGGATCGAACGGCCGACCTCCTGCATACCAGGTGAGGAAGATCGCATCCCACCACCTTGGGGCCCCTCACACCACCGTGGCGCCCCACCCTGACGTCACAATGAGTAAAGGGCACAGGCGCGCACTCACCAGCCCTTCAACACTCGCGCGGAGCCAACCGTGGACCAGCCTTCGGGCAGGGTCTTAAAATCGGCATCCGCGGGGCGATGCATCCCTGAGAAATCTCTCTGCGAGTATACCTCCATCTGAACACACACAAGGGAACGGGGGGCGGCGTTGTAAAATCTGTCCGAGGGAATACACGTAACGTTCCCACGCACAACCATCCTTGCCTCCCCATCAAGGGAGCTGATGAAAGAAGCAGCGGCTTGCGACAGAATTCACCGATTATGTGCAAAAGGGTAAACACGTGTCAGAGAATGTGTGACTCAATCAAGAGGCTGAAAAAAAGAGCACCCTCGTCTTGTAGACAGGAGCTTAGTCTGTGCATGCCTCACTTACCGGCACAATTCAGATTCTTCCTTGATAAAAAATACTTTTAAGTTATTTTTATAATCACGCGTAACACAGCCTGGCGATGGCGCTGAAGTGATGCATTAAAACTTAATGGCAGTCATACCACAAATAGTTTTTATTTCTCATTTAACGGAGAGTAAAACTGCAAAACAACAGGGTGGAGACCAAAAAAAGAAACAGATATAGAAAGAACCACGATATGAAGGAATCGCGGAGAGGAGGAGGAGGCCTAACGGCAGGATGCGTGACGGTGGATGACCAGTGAGGCAAAGACCGCACGTGAGTCGGGAGACAAATGCCAGAAAGCAGAACGGCTTAATAACTTGTCAGAAAGTCCAGGCCACACAGCCCGGGTGAGATGCTTGTTGTTTGGGCTACATCTTTGTTCAAATGGAAGCTCAGCATATGTTTATAAAAAAATAAATGCGAAGATCGTGACATTGGTGTTGAGTGTAGCCAATGATGTCTCGGGGATTTTGTGCGATATCAGGACTTGGTGACGCCCTTACCGCATGCCATTGGGAACTCAGAGAATAAAGAACCGAAGCTGAATTTGGGGATGGTTTCTTTATATGAGAAGTTTCAACAACAACCTCAACATTATATATTCTCACCCTGGCTTTAGAACTCATTTCCACACTTCGTTCCTGGAACACAAAAATAAAAAGCGCACAATTAAAACCAACAAGGAACACATCTCACTCACACGATGGCCCACTTGCCACCATCTCAATTTCAGCTACCACAGCAAAAGAATATGTACGCGTGTGCGGTAAGAGAGCCGGGGAATTGTGCGAGGGGTGAGTCTCACCAGTCGGACAGGCCTAATGGAGGCCAGAGTGGGACCTTGGCCACCCCAATCTGCCGGTGTTGCGTAATATCCTTTCTCCAGGACGAACATCTGGCCCATGAAGTCCTCGAGCTCAAACGCGACCCACCTGTGCGCGCAACGCACACGCACAGAGCAGCCAGTAACACATACACAGAAAGACCAACGTTCTCATTAGAAAATGCAGTGTAATACTTGACACTTTTTTTTGTACGTATGTATGCACGCCGAACTTCTTTCGCACCAGTACATAGCCAACCATGCTCATCGGAGGTGCAAATATATATGAGTAAGGGATGAAAAACCATAAACTCTGATGGTAAAACGTGCATTGCTGTAGCTCACTTGACTCTTCTCAAGGAATACAGATAGTCCTGTATCAGCAAGGCAAAAAGCCAAACAGGTGGTTTGGTTACCATGGCAATCCGCTTGCAAACCTTTGACCCAAGTTACATGGCGTCAGTGGCCATTTAGAAGTTCAAGAGATCGCCTCTTAGGGCAGTGTTCTTCGCTAAGTTTCAGAGGGAGGCCACTTTTTCCAATGGGATTTTGACAGCAGCACGATGATGATGGGGTGGCGTCAGGGGCCGCACTAATGGCCACCAGGGGGCCGCCAGTGCCCCGCGGGCCTCGCGATGAAGAACAACCGTGCTAGGGGGTAGCTCGGCCAAATCTTCCACATCCTGGAAGTTACCCACACTTTACCCCACTACATGTGACCTGTCGATCCACTGAGTGTGATGAAGCCATTCACACTGCTGGGTGAACAAGAGACTGTGGGGAATAACAAAAAACACTTTTTTTTTCAATCAACACAAAACTAAACTTTTTATTTTACCAGGTACGGCCCACTGCGCAATGTAGCTCTTTTTCAGAAGCGACCTGGCCACAAATTGATAGTTCAACGAAGTGGCTTATCACGTGGTAATTCATAGCAGCTAAATACACTGAACGCATATTTAGAAATGTGGAGGGAAAAACCGGAGGACCCGGAGAAAAATCCACGCGACCATGGGGAGAGAGATGCGCAAACTCCAAATATACAGGCATTGGGGTTTGGATCGAATCCACAACCTCTTGCAAACCACGTGAGGGAGTTAACATCTCGCCAGCGTGGCGAACCAGAAGATCAAACCGGTGGACCAACTGGATTGCAAGTCCAGCATGCCGACCACCCATAAACCACGGCGTGATGTGAAGCCATTCCTAGTGCGAACGCGTGCAGGGGGTGAGGGGCGGCGGACGTGACTCACACGCCGCGCTCGACGGAGATGGAGGTGGTGGTGGGCGCGTAGCCGACCGCTTCTACGTCCGTCAACGAGTCTCCCTCCACGCTCAACTCTCGGCCCTCGGGCGAGCCGGGCAGCTCCAGGAGCACCACCCGCGGCTCCGCAAAGTCCTGCAGCGCACAACATCGACAGCAGCTTCTGATGAGCACGGTTGGCTTCATACATACATACGTACACACAACGTACAACAACAAGGATACCCCCCTCTAGCCTTATAGCCTCAACAGACGAGCCACCAGACATCCAAAGAGGCTATTAAACGGCTTAATGACATCGATATATAAATACACACACATATGTTGTAAGAAGAACAGACTGTTGGGGCTGATGTGGTGAGCGAGCACCTATGAAGGCCAAGACGGTATACGAAGGGGTGGTGTGGCTGCAAACATGCCCGGCCACCTGTGTCTCCCCACTGCTGTTGTTACACAGAGCACGAGGTACTCATTTTGGCCAACCATGAGATCTTTAAACAGACTCCGAGACAAGAGGGCTCAACAGATCGAGTCTCTTCACTTCTCTGAAGAGATGCCGCGACACCAAGGTAATACCGATCACATTATTTTTGTTTGCAATCTGACCACAAGTATCGTGGTTAATACGGACATAATTAGCCGAGGTATTCCTAGCTCTGCGATCTTGCATTTACTTGCAAATTCCATCTCTAGCCCTGCCTACTCGAAGCATTGGTTGCAGTGGCTCTGCATTTGGCTCAAGCAGCTCTTTCGCTATATTTCTCTCAAAGGTCCGCCAGCTGTATTTGTTGTGTTGCGATCGAAACGTCGTGGTTTTTTACCTTTTTATTATTTTCTATCTACGTGACTTTACCGAAAGAACCAAAGAATATAAAATAGTAATGTTATTTTTTTTAAACCAGGCAGGCATCTCGTGTCTCACGACTCTTTTCCATTTTGGCCCTGCATACCGTCAACGAAGGATTGGCTTGTGGGAGGAAAGGGGTGAAACCGGGGAAAAATTCCACTATGCATACAACGGGTTGACACTCAGCACTGCCATCCCCTGGCCACCTCACAACCCCATGCCGACAACCCCTGGGAAATCCCCGGTGGCCATTTGCCCAAACATTGAACGAGGCTCCGTCCCTGCTTAGCTCCCAAGATAGGGCATTTTTTGTTGTAACTTTCTGACCTGCCCCCGACTGGACACCTCCGATGAACACGGTGGGTTACGTACGGTGCGAATAAGTTCGACATACATACATATGTACTTGTGTGAAAAAAAGCTTCATAGTTCATCGGATTTTTCCATGAAAAATAAAGATTTTGATTCTCATTCTGGGTGCATTTAAAAAAATTTGTCCATAGATAAAATAACTTGTGATGTACTTACAGCAAATATGGGTCTTATGGAGGAAAGTGTCTCATTGCAGCCTCCCCACTCTTGCCAGCTGTGGTATTCACCTTCCTCCAGGATGTACTGCCGACCGGAAAAATCAGGACCTTCGTAACCAACCCACCTACAACGCGACAGAGGCACTCCTTGTTAGCCTGCCTATGTCTATTCGAGGAAGCGCTGCTGACAACTGACAGTGTAACATTAATAATAGTTTAGTGCAACTGGTATTCGCACCATTCTTATGGTGCAAGGCTATTCCAAAGGCGCCACGTTTTCGCAGACGAGTATAGTCTGCAGTGATTTCAAGCAGGGGGCAATATTCCTATGCGGCTTAATCCCAATGAACGTGTTTCCAAATTTAGAAAATGTAGACCCCGATGCCAGCAAAGATGGCAGACTTGTTTTCAAATAATGTCACGAGATCTCCAACGTCCACTGTGAAGTGGACAGCGAATACTGTTGGTTAATACACCCCACAGTATTAACCAGGGCGGCCACTGGGCTCAAACCGCGAACCTCTGCAACAAGCGGCAACCACATCACTGCACAGTACAGCGGGCAAAGGGTGGTGTGTGCCTACTGCATAAATAATTATTGACAGGCCTCCACAACAGAATGGATGTTCACTATGGAGATGGAGTTCGCACCTCCGATTAGCACGGTTGTCTACGTACGGTGCGAAAGAAGTTCAACACACATGCATGCACGTAGTGATGAGATCAGCAAATTTGTAGGAATGAGAGAGATTGTGGCATTCGTGGGGCCATGCGGGATGGTGATGGCATTGAGAGGTTTTCATGCAGCTGTGAATGATTTCTGATAATGATGACGAGACTGGGATAGATGCAACTGGGACCAATCTGTCGCAGGGCAATACGCGGTGCACACGTGTATGCTCACACTCCGGCCCTGACGCGGATGGAAGCGACGCTCCCGGGAGAGTCTTCCCCGAAGACTCCGCCCAGTGTGCAAATCTCCAAAAACGCCTCCTTCTGCTGCCCTTCAAAATTCGGCTTCTCGTACAAAATCACCTGAGAGAGGCAACAGGCGAAGGTCAAAGTTCACCTTTCTCAAATGAACAAACCAAGACATACTCAACACATTCGTCAACAGCGCTGCCCAACAAGGAAATGTATTGTATGTAGAGTTATGTATTTGGCGACGTTTCGGGCATTGGCTCTTCTTCACAGTGGCGAGATCTTAACTACCTTGCCTGGTTTACAGGAGATCGTGGGTTCGATCCCGACCCTGACGCCTGTATATTTGGAGTTTGCGTGTTCTCCCCGTGGTCGTGTCGATTTTTCTCGGGGTCCTCCAGTTTTTCCCACCACATTTAGCAACGCGCGTTTAGAGCATTTGGCTGCTCTAAAGGTCCACGTGATATGCCACTTCGTTAAACTATTATTAGTGACCAGGTCGCTTCTGAAAAAGAGCTATATCGCTCAGTGGGCCTTACCTGGTAAAATAAAAAAAGTAGTTTTACAAATAGTTTATAGGCTATTGCCTAAAACGTTGTCTATGTGGGCACCGAGCCACAGACCACTGATGGGTAAGGAGCACCTGAGGTGTGAAATGTGCGAACTTCTGACTAGCACGTTTGGCTACATACGGTGCGAAATAAGTTCTAACATACATACGTGTAACAATATTATTTTGTTTCCCATGGCGGTTAATCCAAATCTGGAAAATGTAACGTTTAGCTGCAACCATCCGTTAGACAGGTAAGACCCTCGCTCACAGGCTAGACTGTGCCAAGGGCTTCAGTAAGAAGAAGAAAAAGAAGACATTGAATGTGCTTCAATGCTCAATGAAGCCATCATGTCACAGGGTGTTGAAGAATAGTAACAGCGACTCCATACCTTCGCTTCATTCGGCCTCTCCACTTTGATTTCTCCCTGTAATAAAATCAAACAAAACAATTAATGTTAAGCGTCATTCACGACATGTACTCGTTCTACACAAGAGGCATTGGGTGCTACAGTAATTTCAGAAGAGCTCAGACCTAAAGTGTTTTTTAATGTTTTTGTCATTTCCTTAAGTAAAATGTTGGTATCAAAGGTCAGTGTGATGATTACTACATTCGCCAAGAGAGTTCAGCAATTTGATTTCTTTAGATTTATTCTAATACGAATGTTGGGTCTATATCAGGCTAATATGCAAATTATGCTGAATCTGCATTGATTTAGATAAAGGATTTCATCGACGGCAGTCGTGGAAATTCCACATTCTTATGGTGAGAACCCATTTTTGCATAAAAACAACCACCACTGACTTATGACTAAATGGCGAAGCCTCACCCGGTGGTACAAGCTTTGCCAGCCCTAGAGTTTTGACAACGATGGGACCGAGTTGACCTGAACACGATTATGACTCTCCATCTCATGAACAGGAGTGCTGTGCTGCTTTACTACCTTAAAACATAATTCCAAATATTCTCAATGTGACCTGATCAGTCGAGTGATCAACCGATAACAAACAAATTCAATGCATTCATCAATAACACTGCCTTAAAGGAAAAAAAAACATGATAGGTCACATTTTCGGCAATTGCCCTTCTTCATAGGATATGTCATCTATTATTCAACGGTTTTACTTAACTTGATTCCTGTGTCATGGTCAAATCTTTTAATCAAAATGTAGTCTACTTCCTGTGGTCCAATCAATTCCAAATTTTGCACACGTACTCAGATACGGTGACAATGCATGCCTGTATCAATTAATTAGCTACTTTACAGCAATTAACATTTTGTATGGACGCCTTATTATTTATATATATATATTTGTGTAGGTCAAAAACGCCGTGGTCCCTAAATTCTCGAATCGCCTCACCCAAGAAGCAGGCGCCACATGTCTCAGGTGCGCCATTTGTGAATAAAACCGTTGTTTTTAAAAACACTTTTTTTAAGGAGTTTATATATTTGTATCTTTTAAGGCGGTGTTGTTGACGGATGTGTTAAGTAAGTGTTTTGTTGTTATTTATGCTTGTGCACCACTGCCAACGCAGTCGCAATTTATACGCCGTTTGTTTATTTTTTTTGAAGAACTGACAATATTCAACTACTTAAATGATCGGATATCCCGAGTCTAGCCAAGATAAGCTCCTCCAGTCACTATGTTCGGCGGAGGGCTGTGGACCGTACTACTAACGAGAGGCCGTACCATTTTGAGGGGCCGCAGAGATCCGATGCGAGGCTGGATCCCATCCCAACAATCCATCGTGGGGTATTCCCCAGGCTCAAGGATGCTGATGAGCTCCATGTAGTGGAATCCCAGGTACAGCAGCCACCTGAGATGGTAGAAGCAGCCAGGAATAACAAAGTGTTATCGTCAGCACGAACGTTTTTGCGGGAGTTATCATACGTGGCTGTCAGAGATGGCTGGCGGCAGTTCTGAGGTCAGAGAGCTGAGCTGGCACTGCTGGGGCCCTTGGGTTTGAATCCAGGCAGCTGCCTGTGACAAAACCAGGTTCTCGAGTGTGCAGAGTTAATGGTCTCAGCCCGGTTACCAATGACTGCACAACCACAGCATGGTTCTTAACTTAACCCATTCCCGTTCCGAGACGTCTGCAAGTTGCAGAGTGGGTATTCCGTTCACCGCTGAATCTCGGAACGAGCAAGCGGTGAGCATTAATTTTGTTTAGTGATGCGTAGCGCCGTCGTTTTTAAAGACATTGTACTTACTACAGAGAACCAGTGACACGACGGCCCTCTACGATAGCTGGCACCAAACTGTCCCACACCCGCTCCCGCATGGCCTTGTGGGAGCCTCGGTACGTATTTCTTCCTCCGATTCCATTCATTCGAATGACGTACGTGTACGTCATTGGAATGGGAAATCTTAATTGGGCTAAATTCAAGCTCCGAGCAAAAAAAAACGTGATTTGACTGTCATTCGCTGAACATTACTCTCAGTTGCAGGGCAAGTAGGAAAGTGTGTGGACCAGAAGTCACTGAAAGGGATTTCAAATGTTCTTCAGTGGTATTTGCTTATGTGGACTGTTCTCTAACACGAAGTGTTGCACTGTTCTGCGCCAGTTCTGAGTGGATTGTTTGTCTCCTAATATGACCCCACTAGCAGAAGCTGGATACAATGGGGAACAAAGACAGTGTAAAAGACAACATCTGGGTATGCAGACATTGGAAGATTACGCGTGATTCCTCTATTGCACATCTGGAGTACAGAGATTCGGAGGTAGGGTTGTTGGACCGTAATCAGATGGTGACCACGTGATACGCCCACCTGCACAGCAACAAGTGCGCTTATTCACAATTTGAAAATCAAGTGGGGTTCTTAATCCATGTGTGCGGTATTCGTCTACCCCTTGCATGTTAAAGCGCGTGTCGCTGACCTACTTGGTGCCGATGGTTTATCTGGGCTTCTTTTTCTACCATACTCTTTGGTTTTTTTGGTAAAGTCACGTAGGTGACAACAAAATGAAATAGAAATAAAACTAAATTAAATCACGACGTTTCGGAAGCAACACAAGCATCCGTCATCAGGTGTGACTGCTGTGTTGTGTCCGAAACGTCATGATTTTATTTAATTGTTTTATTTAGTTTTCACCTACGTGACTTGACTGAAAAAACCATAGAATATGGATCCTTGCAGTCACGAAAACTTCAAATCTATAATAATTGTTCTACCCTTCCGTAAGAACACTTGCCAGTTTGGTTTGGGTGTTCTCTCGCATAATAAACCGCGCAATCCTGCACAGCAGACTACCCCACCTCCAAGGTCTGCTGTTATAGCATCCTCACAGATATCTATCAGACCCTTTTTACAAATATCCATAATACAGGAGGTATTAGGATGTTCAAACATCAAATAGACACCAATTGCAAGGCATCAAGTCTGCAATAATTATAAATGGTTGTGCTAAAACGTTCAAATATGATTTGATAATGTATGCATTGTTCTTTAAACTGATCGGCCTACGTCAGAGACAGCCTCCTTCATGGCCTTGTCTCAGCAGTGTTGGACCAGTGAACACCAAAATGTGAAGAGCACAAGGCCAATGCAAGTATCAAAGCATTAACAGCTTGGGTTGTGCAGTTAAATTCATAGGATGCAGGGGGGGGGGGGGGGGAGCTGTGGAATAGTGGTTAGCGCACTGCACTATGAACCTGGAAATCTAATAGTGATAAAAGGAGTTGAACTCCTGGGCATGGCTAACATCAGTGGCGAGTGATATATGAAGCGGTCCTAGCCCCTCCACCTGCCCCCCCACTCCTCGCCAACCCATACTGACCAGCATGGTGAAGTAAGGTCAAAGAACCTCCCCCGGATCAACAGAGCATGAGGAGGCCTTAATCCAGCAGTAGATTGACAATCCACTGTAAATAATTATTATTTTAACATGATGCACAGTGGTTCTTCGAATTAAAATTATCACAATTCATGACTCGTGTCTGAGTCTACCCGAAGGCCCACAAGAGGGGTCTGTGCTTTGGGGAGATGTTGGGGAGTCACATGGTGTGGGGATTGTGTTGTAGTTGTAGCGTGACGTCACGGCTTTTGAACGTGGCTGCTGATCTCAGACACGAGGTCTGCCGTCGTTACTTCATTGAATCTCGGACAACGAAACCCACACGCCAGAGTTGACGATGATGGAGGAGACGGTCGGCTGCATTCCGTAAACTTCCACCTTCTCCGCGTCGTCGCACACGATGATGTCTGTCCCCCGGAACTCCTCCTCCGAGAAGAGCACGATCTCTGGCATGGAGTGGTCCTGTGGCAGGGGGAGGAATGGAGACAGAGATACCTTTTATATAATTTATTTTTATTTTGCCAGGTAAAGCCCAACTGAGCTATACAGCTCTTTTTTAGAAGCAACCTGGCTATCACAAATTATAGTTCAATGAAGTGGCGGCTTATCACGTGGACATTTTTAGCAGCCAAATACTCTAAATGCGTGTTTATTCTAAAAGTGGAGGGAAAAACCCGGAGCACCCGGAGGAAAAATCCACGCGACCACGGGGAGAACATGCAAACTCCAAATATACAGGGGTCAGGGTCGAACCCACAACCTCCTTTATACCAGGCAAAGGAGTGAACATCTTGCCTGCCTCCTCGCCTGCCCACTCCATCTGTCATTGATGACCCAAAGGAAGAGGGGGAGGATGGGCCTCCCTCCTTCTAACCAACCCTTCACCCATCATCTCATTGTCATCATCATCGTGAACTTCTACCCTAAATGTAAACGGTATGTAAAGTTAATTTGATATATATTTATGTTTATTTTTTTGTATGTGTAATGTACTGTATTTTATTCGTGTGTAGAGAATAAACAGGCAACTTAGCTAAGCTATGACGAGTATGGCCGTGGCTCCCCTAACCCCCTATTTCCCATAAGCCCCTGCACTTTACCAACCACGCATTTGCCTACTTCGGCCTTTGCCAGGAATCTAACCCCACCACCCATGGCGGTTGGTGAGGGATTGCTGTACACGTGAGCTGGCACTTTTAACTGGACGGTTGTCTGCTGCTTCACGCACATGCCTGCCGTCGCCCCCTCTCTCCAGTTTCCGTGTGGTAACCTGAGCCACGCAGCTCACAGCTGACAAAAATCCCACCCTCGCTTGACAGGAGAGTGACACACACACACTCTGACTCACAATAGCAGTCGGAGAGAACAATAAACATTCTATCTGGGATTTAATTAAATTTTTTACATTCACTCCCGGTTCATATTTGATCGAAATGGGTTTTGCTGAAATCTCTGCAGTATCAAGATTAAAACGCAACACGCATTCTCAAACAATCATAATGCTGTACGAGGATGCCGACCGAAAAAGAATTACAATATTTGTGTTGGCACTCCGATGGAATGTGAAACCACACCTTCTGCATTGAGACAGATAAGAGGTATGGAGGGATAGTCCCCTGCCTTGCCCAATGAATGCCCTTTCTTTTTCAAAAGAAAAAAAAAACTTTTCAAGAGAAAAACCACTCGACAATGAACGCCTCGATTGTCAGTTACGGAATGGCTGTAATGAACATTGTACAACGTACAAAGATACTTACAGGTAAAGGTGTGACTGCACAATGCTCACGTCACTTTTGACAAGGGGGACTTCTCACTTCAAAGCAGAGGGGCACGGCAGCATTTTACAAGTTTGGGGTGGGGGGGTGTCCGACTCGCGAGCGGTTCCCAGTGGTCATTGGTTAAGATTGTGGTGCCACGGGCCCATAGGAGTCGCGGGTAACGAGGGCTGCGGTGATGCCGGGGGTTCTGCGGCACTATGTGATTCCAACAAAACCCGCGCAACTACTGCTGTCGACTAGGCACTGAGGCTGCTGTTTAAGCGCGACTGCTTATCTAAAATAGCACAGGTTTTTTTGGGGGGTTAGCTCGTGTAAATATGAATGTGTCGTTAAACCACCTGATGCAGCCAATGAGTAATGGTTTGTCACGTAAACAGAACATGCCGACTCGTTACGAGTACGGCACACCGGTGTGTTGGAGAGCAAATCCACAACATTTACCATCTGATTTACAAATCAGATTTGCTCTCCAACACACCGGTGTGCTGTACTCGTAACGAATTGGCATGTTCTGTTTATGTGACAAACCTTACTAATTGGCTGTGTAAGGTGATGGTGAGTTTTTAACGACACATTCATATTTATGCGATCTACTCCAATTTTTTAAAAATATATTATGTATAGTTTGCGAAAGCCTACGTGTTAAACTTCCTATCTAAAAATGGAACCTTTTAACTGATGCAACGAGGCATGCCTGTGATCCATATTTTACCTGGAGAGTTGGTGGTCTCCCTACGAAACACTCACCTGCAGGGCAATGAGGGAGTCTTGCTTGAAAAATGTGCAGCTACTAGGACATCTGACCACTTTCAACGGTGCTATTCCCCCCGTGTGTCCAGGACATCTCCGGGAACTCAAGTGTCTTTCTCCCCACGAAATACGTGAACGTTAACAAACTGGCCCAAATTCCTCGAGCAAGGCCTTCCTGCAGAAAGAGTCTTTATGTTCTGCCAAGACCATGTGGTTAAACAAAAAAAGGATTGTTCTTGTATACCCCCCCTTCCCCCTGATCCAATCTTATCCAGACTGTGCTATCATCAATCACCATCGTCAAGTCGGGAGATTAAAATCTATTGGGATATCTCACAGAGCGGTGGAATGGCTCGTAGAGGCGGATACCAATGATAGCTACCTCCGATATGCCTTAAAGTGACCTCTGAACCACACAGCACCATCCCTACCGCTCTACATATGAGAGTAACATTCGTAGCGTGACAGTCAACGCATTTGGACGCCACGGTGGCGAGATGTTAACGACCTTGCCTGCTATGCAAGAGCTCGTGGGTTTGATCCCGACCCTGACACCTGTATATTTGACGCCTGAGTTTGCATGTTCTCCCCATGGTCACGCGGATTTTTCTCTGGGTCCTCCGGTTTTTATTCCACATTTAAAATCGTGCCTTCATAGTATTTGGCTGCTATACATTTCCACATGATAAGCTACTTCGTTGAGCAATTATTTGTGGCCAGGGCGCTTCTGAAAATGAGCTGTGTAGCTCAGTGGGCCTTACCTGGTAAAATAAAAAAGTTTAGTTTTAGTTAGTATTTTTTTCCATTTATTATCAGAGCTGGAATTCAACCGAATTAAGGACCAAATGATCCTTATGGCGGTACCCCAGGGTACCCAATAATACATAATGGCCGAGGCAATTATACATTTTATTTCTGGGACACTATTTTTTCCAGGGGTGTACTTAACTCCGCAATCAATCCGAAATCAGTGCAACTCCACGATGTCGAAACGCAGCGAGGACGATTGCGCTGGAACCCTGAATGCTCGTACGCACCATAGTGGTGCATCGTGCACAGCTCGTCGAGATGAGTCGATTGCCGCATCATCGACCATCAACAGACTAAAAATGACTGCATCACGGTCATTATGCGAGAGCCGGGGTACCGCCATAAGGTTCAAATGTAATGTGATGGCTTATTTGTGTTTAGTCATTGGTAACCATGACGAGACCATCACCTTGCTACACTTCAGAACTCGGTTTAATCACAGACAGCTGCCTGGATTCAAACCCAGGATCTCAGCGCTGTCTGCCCAGCACTTTCACCTCTGAGCAACCCTATCCACCTCTGAAATCGTGTTACTGCTAAGAAACGTGAATAGTTTGGACCTGCAACCGAGTATAACTATCTGTATAAATTGACCTTACTTTGGCAGCAGCGAATCAAGCAAGCCTCGGATTAGCACGGTTGGCTACGTACGGTGTGAAAGAAGTTCAACATACGTACATACAAGCCTGCATGTCGAAACCGGTCTAGAGTTTGCTCGTATATGAATCAATGCCGTTGAAATGATGCACTCCCAGAAGGGCGTGGGGCCGATAGGGTTGTGCGAAAGAATACTGTTGTTTTGTTTGTGGAGAGGCATATACGTTAAGGAGACAGTGCGCTTTTCTATTTCGTTGTTTATATTCTCCGCGACGACACGAACGATCGTTTCACATCATTACTTTGACGACGCGCTTGATGGACCCAATGACGATCTTCGGCTCCTTGGGCTCGCCATCCTCCTCCGCCTTGCCCTGATCGATCCTCCCCGCCATGGGCCCACCCACAAACCCTTGCTCCTCTGCAAGCATCTCCCCCCACGGATCCGTCATCTCTTCCTCTCCCTCCTCCAGCGCGAAGCACTCGCCCGTGAAGCCCGGCTCGCGATACACAAGCCACCTGCAGCACACAGAAAAAAAACTCAAGACAATGGTCCCCCATATAGCCTTAACAGACTGTTGGGGGGCAAGTGCTGTTAGCGAGTAGCACCTATGAAGGCCGGAATGGCAAACGAGGGGGGTGGGTGGACAGCACCAAGCCCAACCGCCTTTGTCTCCCCAGTCACGATGTGTACACATCCCACCAGGTACTCATTTGAGAATGAGTCGACCTAGGGAAGGCCCAGGACCGGTTCGGATAATCGTCACCGGGTTCGTAGCGCAGCGCGCTAACCGCTACACTACCGCTCCTACTGCGGCGCACACACACAAATATCCCCCGTATAGCCTTTAACATAATTGTTGGGGCAAGTGCTGTTAGCGAGCACTTATGAAGGACAGTATGGCAGATAATGGGGTGGGTGGCTAAAACCACGCCTTGGCTGCCTTTGTCTCCGCCAGTTTGTTGATGTATACACTCTGCAGCAGGTACTCATTTAAGGCCGACCTGCCCTCGGGGATGCCCAGGACCGATTCAAATATTTGACACTGTTACGAGCGCAATTTGTTAACTTAGGAACGCACGCAGTGAAAAACGGACTATTAGGTAATGCCGCACTGTACTTGCATAGCGCGCAATACTGAGCCCAATTGTGAGGACCTACCCACCGAATGAGGATCTGATGCAGCTGAAACATCAATCTGGGGGAAGGCTGATGAACGGTACCACCATCGCGAATATTAACTGGCGTTTACTGCTACAAGGAGCCGAAGAAGACAGATTTTTTTAAGTTTTGCAATCAAGCCAGAAGGTCCAGAGGAGAGCACAAAAGAGGGGCAGCCTCTGCTGGTGAACCTTCCTGTGACTCCAGCTTCATCGTCAGATTAAGAGGCAGCTGATGCCGCCCCTTTGTTTGCAGAACTCCATCACTGGTCACCCCCAAGGGGCATCGATCAGCAAACTCCTCGACCATCTCTGGTAAGTTTAATCGAATTATTTGTATTTATTATTCGTTAAAATGTTAAAATGTATGTTAACTTGTAACCATATGCTTTTTTGTACACTTCATAACAAGCAGTCACGCATTTTTTTTTCACCATAAATATTGGCTCGGAACACAACCCCTGATTTTAACATTATGTCTATGGGAAATTATAGTTCGCTTTAAGTTATTTCGAGTTAAGTAGCATTTCCCAAAAACGCATTCCCTTATACACAGTGGGAGATTCCTGTAATGGCCTAGTTCTGATTGCTTTAAACACCCTTTAAAAAAGTCTTGAATCAAATTGCCAATATAAGTTTTGATATTAGTGAACCCAGCTTGAGCATTTTCACCTTTTTTTCATTTCCCTGGAGTCTTTCAGCTCAGTTACCCCGTCGATACCGTTTGAGTAATCTGCTTTGGTGCTGCAGGTCTCAGACCCATGTGCTGCAGGGGACCTCCGCCTCAACCTGGATGCCCACTCCTCGCCAGCGGGAGTCCAGCGCTTGCCCTGGGTTGCCCCTCATAGGGGCAACCCAATGGGGCAACCCAGTAGGCAACCCAGTGGGGAAACCCAGTGGGGCAACCTAGTGGGCAACCCAGTGGGGCAACCCAGTGGGGCAACCCAGTGGGCAACCCAGTGGTTGCCACTGCCGCCATTCTCTGTGGCTTATTTTTTTATTTTACATTAATGTATTTACTGTTGTGCCAAATATGCGTAGGCAAGGTCGCTAAAACGCTGCGAATGCGGGTCCGCTGGCCTTAATTCCAGCCCGCAATCGTGGCACTCTTAGGCGCGTACACGTGGCCATGTTGTCCTGAAAAGAACTGCCAGCGCTAAAATGGGAAGAAGGCGAGCCCGAGTGGGTGCGCCTCGCACAGACCACAGAATTGAGAGAGGCTCGGCACGTTTCAGCGTCGCGGGCTGCGCGAAGTCTCGCCGTTTCGGTGGAGTGGAGTGTGGTTGTACGGTGCCCCCCCCCCAACCTCAGAAAGGTTGGGGAACAAAACCGTGGCCCCACTGTGGCTTAGGGCAGCGAGCGCGCGGGCACGCGAGTGGTGAGCGCGTGGGGTTTTAACAGCTCACCCGCCTCGCACCACCCTCAGCGAGATGGTGGCGGGGAGATCCCACGGTGTCGCGTCAGCAACGTCCGTGAACAGCTCAATCTTCTTGCCGGTAAAGCCCGGCTCGTAGAAAATCACCATCTGCAGCATCAAGGGCAGAAACTTCAGTAAAACCAAGGAAAAAGGGCAGGCGTGCGATTCTTTATTTTGCCACCGATGGCTTGAAGGGCTGAAACTGAACACTGGCCCAATGGATGGATGTGTGTGTATATTGTGGGGATAGCGCGCTGCACTACGAACCCGTAAACCGGGGTTCGATTCTCGCTCCGAGCCAACACCAAGTGACGAATATCTGAATGGCCCTGGGCCTCCCCTAGGTCGACTCAGCCTCAAATGAGTACCTGAGCGGTGTGTAAAAACATCACCAATGGGGATACAAAAGCGGTCGAGCGTGGTGCTGGCCACCTCCGTGTGACGTGCCGGTCTTCATAGGTGCTCACTAACAGCACTTGCCCCAACAGTCTGTTAAGGGTAAACGGGGGATCTTTGTCTTTTGTATGTATGTTGAACTTCTTTGTAACCGTACGTAACCAACCATGCTAATCAGAGGTGCAGGGTGGGGGAAGGACAACACAAACTAAACACAACATGTCTTGGTTGAGCTGGGAGCACCCACACTTTGTACCCCACCCCGCACGACCTGGATGATCGACCAGATTTCATCACGTTTGTAGACGTGCCACTACCTGTTTGCTATGTATGCGTACGTCGGTAAAGCCTGTATAGCCATGCTAATGAGACGTTTCATCTCAAGGGATTTTCCAGTTGATATATATAATTAAATTAAATAATGCGTAGGCATACCCCATTTGATATATATTATTAAATAAAATAACCGTGGCGTTCCCATTCAAAGTGCTTTCCACTATGAAATGGCCTGACACGTGAATTCCTGCCCTTCCTATCCAGCGGGGTGTGCATGTTATTACGCAAGGAACTAAGACGAAAGAGAATGTAACTTGGAAAGGGGCCCAGATTAAGGGCGAGGTGGGGATAGTATTCGTGTTAGGGTAGGACAAGTTGTCACGGAAGGCTGGATAGTTTTGCAGTATTATCAGTAGGTTTGGTTCCTGCATTCCACTCAAAAACGATGTTTTTTTTCTAACATGCTAATGCCCCAATTGAGCGTGGGTCATTCACGTTTTGTCCGCTTTTCATTACTTGTGTTCACGGGGCACTACCTGTTATTTATAAAACATTTACAGCGAGTGCGGTTGCGTAACTCATCAGCGATGCAATGAGGTGGCACCTGTAGCATATAGCACGGCAAGCAGATTTCTGACAAGCTCTCTGTCTAGAACAGGATTGCAAACCTACAGGCTGCAGGCAGGTAATAGCCCACAACTTAATATGGCCACATGACGCCTGCCACTCAAAACTGCTTGCAAACAATATTTATCCATCACTGCGAGCATCCTAATATGGACTAATTGGGTACGAGAGAGGTATCTTTTCTACCTGGCAATGCTGTTTCAACATATATCATGCTCATTCACCTGTTGCCTATCAAAATGGTTGCGAGTAAAATGTGAATGCACACAACCCTAGAAGGATCAAAGTTCAGCGTCCACTACTACTTTGTGGCGATGCTAAAGGTAGTATTTAAAGGTCCTCTTCGGCCCCCAACAATGAAAAGGTTCCCCGGCACTGGCCTGGTGTCTACGTGTGCTCCGATCACACGCGTGGGCCTCGTCCAGGGCACTCGAGCTTATCCCAAAATGCATGAAAAAAAGTTTTCTTCAAATGTCCAGTTTACTACAAAATGCATAAAACAAATTGTCATATGTCTAAAACAAAATGAGCCGGTGGGCCCGTGGAGGACGTTAATGCGTGGGCGTAGAAACAATCACAGGTGCAGTGTTTTGACACTGTTGACAATGTGAGCAGCAAGAGTGCGGAGCAGCAGCGCTCAGAAGAGGGTGGCGGACGACTGAAGCTCAGCAAGTTTCTAGAGCGGCAAACACAGGTGATGCGTTAGTCAATCACTTCAGTCAACCCATAACACCTGGGGGCCTATTCCCGTGACCTGCCAGCGAACCTACGACCATTCACGTGGTCTTAAATTGTACGTAGCCTGGCACAAGCGATGTGGTGATGTCACCGCCGCATAGTGGTGAATAGTGGCTGTTGCTGTGTGAACGTAGGCGTTTCTGTGTGTATTTGTGTATACGTGCCTGTATGCATGTAAGTCTACGTGTAGTTTGCGTGTGTGTATGTATGTGTGTCTATACATTGTGTATTTGGCTCCTGAAGGGACGCTACTCAGCAGTTGGAGGCACTTGCACTCCAACAACAACGGAGGGTGGAGGAGTGATGCTCACAACGAGCGGACCACCGGTTAGCTAAAACACAGAAATTTCGGACAGTGAGGAGTACAGGTGGCGGGTGCATCTGCTAATCATCTCAGTCAGTCAACTCATAGCACCTGGGTCTGTCTCATGACCAGCGAGCCTTCCATGCTTAACGTAGTCTAAAAGTGCACCTAGCCTGGCACAAGCATCACGGTGATGTCATGGCCACTTTGTGGCGAATGGCAGCTATTGCTGTGTAGTGTATGCATCTGTGTGTAGGCTGTTTTGGGGGCACTTCAACAGTGAAATGTCATGGTCATGTAGGAGTACAGTATCGTATACAAAATTAATACGGTGGCTCAGTTAAGATTCATTTCGGCTTACTACTAACAAAGCTTTTAAGAATTATGAAAGAAAACCTGAGTGACTCACCCATATACGTGAGTAATGCGGTATTGGCATTTCAGAAGTAACCACAACCCACACTGCGCTGTCCTTAGATCCTGATGCCAACTCAACCGATCTTCTGCACTTCCAAGACCTAAATGTGCAGCCCTGCAATTGCTTGCTTATTCCACTGCTGGAGGAAAGGCCTCCACTAGAGGGAGCTATAGAGATTTCCTGGGAGCCAGGGTGGCGAGATGTTAACTACCTCAACTAGTATGCAGGAGGTCGTGGGGTCGATCCCGACCCTGAAGCCTGGATATTTGTAGTTTGCATCTCTCTCTCGCCGTGGTCATGTCGATTTTTCTCTGGGTCCACCGGTTTTCCCCTCCACATTTAGAATCGACATGCGTTTAGAGTATTTGGCTGCTATAAATTTCCACACAATATGCAACTTTGTTGAGCTATCATTTGTGATAGCCAGGTCACTCTGAAAAAATCTACACAGCTCAGTGGGCCTTATCTGGTAAAATAAAGAGTTCAGTGTTATTGTTTAGTGTTGCCCAGACGTCTGGAAGAAGTGGAGCTACCCACATTCTACCCCACCACACGAAACCTGCCGCACCTCCGATTAGCACGGTTGGCTACGTAGAGTGCAAAAGAAGTTCAACATACATATACGCAAACTGACGATCAACTGGACAGTCTGTGGATGTACCAATTTCAAGCTGTTTGGCCGACAGAGGCGGCAAAGTTTTTTTTAAAAAGAATCTCTCCTTTATTGTTTTAACAGCCTGTGCAGGACGATTGAACTTTGCAGACCTCTGGGTTGTGGGTGGAGCATGGCAACAATGACGCCATGTTAGCAGCAATAATACTGTACTGCAGTTGGTCGTCCGGAGAGGGTTTGGAATCAGTAAAACCCTTTAACAATGACACAATGGTACTGTAGAGCAGGGTCTAAACAAGTTAACCCATGGGTATATGGTGCTGTATATGGTGCTGATATAATCGGAAGGTCATGATGTGTTTGTCGAAAGGATTTCTCGACCTCATCCGCCACATTTACAGTGCATTGCACAAAGCTTAAGTATTCTCAAAACTTACTTTAGTTTTGTTTCTTGCACCAATAGTTCATGGTCCCTACAAGAGTGCTCTTTTCCAACACCACCTTATAAACCGGCAGTATATGTTTTACACGTGTGCTGATGAGCCCCAGAAGGGTAAAGCTGGTCCGAAGTTCACTTATATAAACCAACGTCCATTGTTAACATCAGCCTGTGAGGCCAATAGGCTGATTGGACTAAAACACATTCAACTTTTTATGTGGAGATACAGAACTGATGGTGAAAGTGTCGTTTTTAAGCACACATCACAGTATTTTCTCGTTATTCGCGTGGGATACATTCTGGAGATGCTTGCGAATAGCACATTTCGCGGGTGATACTGGCCAACGAAAACCAAACTTTTATTTCAAGAGTTAATCTACCATCACTTTACGCCCCCTCACCACTCCATCTCATTTGCTTTTCTTTCTCTCTCTCTCAATGCAGTCGTGCAGAGTTCCAGATGCGATTTTCGGATAGCCAAATTCGCGGATAGCAAGTTCGTGCATAACGAGGGAATTACTGCAATTACATTTTCAGCTCATTATTTTCAGGTATTTCACATACAGGTTTGGTAGTGATTTTCTATACGCTTATATCTCTATGAATAATTATAATAGCTTTTAAAGGCAGGTACAGTAAATAATGATTGAGACCAATCCTGGACAGTTAATTCCTTAACTGATTCGTATGCATGTTGTGGAGATGTTCTCACCAATTATATTCCAAACGTGTGATTGTAGTCACGTCACGAAGGTACATAAACATGTCGGAAATACAACGTGTTTTATTTACTTCTGAAAGGGTCACTGAGCCACAAAGACGATTCTGTCAGGAGGGCTCCTGCATTGGAGATGTTTGACAAATCTCTTCAATATAGGAGGGTCTGGCATGTGGGAGGAATCATGAGTTTGTAACAAACACCCACACAATGAGGGGATAAATAACAACAAAAACTCAGAAAAATTTCGTCAAAACCAGTGTGGCATTTAAAGGAAAAAATATTTAAGAGGCGACGTTACGGGCATTAATGACTCTTCTGCATAACAGATAGCAAAGGACGTGCTATGAAAATGGGCCATTTCCAAAAATCATTGCCTATGATATGTTTTCCTTCTCATGCAGCGTCGTTTAAAAATGTATAGAGTTTTTGTTTGTTTGTTATTTGTGCCTTTGCATCACTGCCAACGCAGCATCACAAAAATAATTCCATTGCGAGGGGCGTAACACTCAAAGCGACACACAAATAGATTCAGTCACCCATTGCTATGGTAGCCCCCCCTCGCAGCCCAAGCCCACAGCACTTGGGATTCCCAGGCAGTATCATATCTAAGTATTCACCACACATAAGCCTGCTCTGCAAACAAGATCGACAATTTCCAAAGATCGGCAAAACGTTACGTTTTACTCCAGTGACATCACATAGCAAGTATGAAATTGTTGGTGCATCAGGCCTCTATCACTCAACATGAGGCAGTGTCAGCCCTTCGTTTCTCTCGAGATAATGATTTGCTGCATGCTCACCACACACATGTTGCATTTCTTCCGCACCGTACGTAGCCAACCGTGCAAATCGGAGGTGCGATTAGCTACATTATTACAAGAACGTTTGGCCATTTTCAGAGGGAGGGGGGGGGGGGCACTTGTGCCGATAAGTCATCATCAGTGTGCAATGAAAACGTCGGTGTAGTCACCTGGTAGGTAGCCGGACTGAGACCATCAAACTCACGAGAACCCGGTTCGATCACAAGTGAAGGAATCAGAACACGAGATCTCAGCATGACTAGCCCTGCTTGTCGACACGGGCATCAAGCCCTTGATCCTCCCAGCCACCTCTATTATTAAAACGTTAATTGGCCACAAATTGTAGTCTTCTCGAATCTCTTGTTATTTTCCCACCACCTCATCTTTCAAGACGAAGTCACAAATCACAGGGGTCAGCGACTGTTCTTGGCTGTAAGCGGTTATTTATGGTAATTGATTTAATTAATACATGTTGGTATTCCTGGACCGCGCTGAACTGTTCTCACGGGGTTTTTTGTTGACAAGCAGCAAATCGCCATCTACAAACTATAGTGGTGAGTTGGGATAAGCGATTCATTCTTGCATCTATCCGAATGAGAGTCCTGATTATCATTAATCGCTCGTACCCACGGGGGTATCTCCGGATACTCCATTTTCCTCCCACGTGCCAAATGTTTAAATGTTAATGGCTAAGCAATCCCATGCAGGACCCTCCTTGCAATTATAGTCTTGAGACTCAATGAGGATTTTCTTGGGCAAACGACAACGGCAGTAACGTTGCAGCGTAAAAGCGACGCTCCATTCTTACCTTGCCCGGCCTTGGGTTCACGTGTCTTTCTCCTTCCATTGCCGGATCCTGCATGAGAGATCACAAATGCTAAAATTGCTACAGAGCTGCATCATCATCATCATTATTAGCCATGATCAATACACTGCTGGATGAAGGCCCCCCAAGCGGCTGCCGCTCCTCACAATCCGACTTTGCAAAAAAATCCATACAGCAACCCAAGCAGAGCATGCTGCAGCCTATTGTGTTTTTAAATAGGATGCAATGAAATACAATCGAGGAGTCAGGCAACGGCAGTAAATTACAGTTCCTCTGCGACATTTGTTTGTAGGTCACGTACGCGTCTCAGAGCCAAAAAAGGAAAAAGAATCACACGAGCAAACTTTTGTCTTGCCACTAGCTGCAGCGTTCACAAGGAGACTCTACGTGAAAAGCATAACACATCATGTGTTCGCTCACACGAATAACTCATTGTCATTAACCGATGTGTGTTTCGATCGCCTCAACTTTGCAGGTGGTTTGTACATCGAAGAACGCAAAAGTAATCGAACGTGCTAATTGTACGACTGTTATTACTGTGGATATTTTTGGTTTGTTACGATGCACTGCTGATTTCGTGACAATTGCTTGCCATTGCTTCAAACAGCAACGCGCGATGCACAAGAGGCTGACACACACACAAAAAACAATTGCCCATGCCGACATTGTTTCACTTCGACATTCACAGTTTCGTACATCTGAAAATACAACAGCAATCAAACGTGTCAAGTGGTAAAGACAAAGCACACAAATGGTAAAAACAAATCTATATCTGTGTATTCTCAATAAACATACTTGACACTGACAACTGTTAAAAAAAACGAAACGGCAATGCAAACAAAAGCTCAGGAATCCTCACTCAACCTTTGCGCTGCGACCGCGCGCATGAAGTTAAAGGTGCAGCTCTGCAGGTGCACGGTGGGATTTTAAACAAGGAAGGACAAACTCACTTGGGGAGCTCCGTTGGTGGGGCCCTGCGGGAACATGCCGGGCTGCGGTTGGTCGGGGAAGCTGCCGAACGCCAGCAGTTGCTCGGGACCCGGCAAGGCTTCTTGCAGGAGGTCGCTGCCCCCGGATCCTTTGCGCCCGAGAGCGGCTGCGGAGGTCATATCCCTCAAGGGAGACGCAAGCTCCAGGGCAGCCCCGTGTGAGCCCGGCTGCTGCTGCTGCTGCCTGCTCCCTTCGAAACTCTGGACAGCAGCCGAAGCGTAGCCGCTCAGCGGTGGTGGCAGCGCGGGCACGCCGCCACCGTCGTTGCCGACTGTGCCAATGTCTCCGAGCTGAGAAAGCGCAGACGCGCCAGGGGCAAACGCACCTCTGGGAGATGTCACCCTCGTCGCATCCGCTCCCTCGTGCGCCGCCCTGGCGCCGGGAAGTCTTGGGCTTGGCCAGACGTCCGCGGGTTCCGACGTTTGCACCGGGCTGCGCGGTTCCAGACCGCCGGCGTCGAAGCCTTTCAGCGAGAGCGAGGACTGCTTGTAGAAGTTCGAGAATTTGTTGTGGGGGGACGGGCCCGGGGCGCCACTTTCACCTTTGCCCTCACCTTCCTCATTGAGCTGCCCCGCTTTGTCCTTGCCGAAACCGTTGTGCAGGCTCTGGTGGCCCACCATGGACTTCAAGCTGCGGTTTTTGATCTGCTCCTTCAAGAAGTTCATCGTCTTTGTCTTTTGGAAGTCGACCGAAGGCAGCTCGGACTTGGTGCCGCTCTTCAAGGACCAAAGGTTCACATTTTGCTGGTCTTCCAGCGGCTGCGGACGCTCGCTCGTCCTTCCCCCACCCCCGTCCTCCTCGGCGACTCCGGAAGCGGCTTTACTTTCGCCGAATCCGCTCGCTAGCGGCGACAACTTTGGGCTCCTGCTCGCGAGGGCTACGTCCCCCGGGGGGAAATACTTCTGCCTTCTGGCGGCCCCGGCCGACTCTTCGTCACCCCCCTCCTCCTCCAAGTCCTCCTCCTTAATGGGCGAGAGCAGAGAAAACTGCTCAAATGCCGGGTTTTGCCGGGAGGGCCGCCCCCCGTTGTCCGCTGCGTCTGGCGCTGCCGTCCCGTCCTGGAACATGTTCTCGATCACCTCCACCTCGGTGCACATCTCCATCGGCGAAGGCCTCGGCAGGTAACACTGAAAACCTGTCGGCTCGATCGGGACGGTGGCGTCGTCCGCGCTCTGTGGTACCAAGGGCGCCCCATCGGCTGTAGTTTCACCGGCGCCTCCTCCATCAGGTAACGCGTGGTTACTTGCACTGACCTCGACGTGTTCCGTAGTGCCTACGTTGATGACAGCCTGCTGCTGCTGTTGCTGCTGTTGCTGCTGTTGCTGTGGTTGCTGCTGTTGCTGCGGTTGCTGCGGTTGCTGCAGTTGCTGCTGCTGAAGTTGCTGCTGCTGTTGTTGCTGTTGTCCATCAGTAATATTTTCAAACTGCGTTCCAGGTTTTGTGAAGGTCGAGCTCTCTGTGCTGCCCATATCCGGGGACTGCAATGGCTGCGGTGCTTTTTCCTCCACTCCCGACGAAGGATTTCCTAGCGATGCACTCGCAGCTTGCTCGGCATCCATGGGACCTGCCTCAACATGCTGTCGTGAAGGTTCTCCTTGGACTTTAGCGTGAGTTCCATTTCTGCTGCTGCTGGTATCTGAGAGCAGAGGCATGCTTGGTGCTGCAGGCTCACCAGTCTGTGTGGCTTGTGTGGGAATGTCTACTTTGACTGAATTAATATCCTGTGATGGTTCAGCAGCAGCGCTGGCTTTCAAGAGGCTTTGTGTTTGCTCAACTGTCGCGACCTTGTTAATATCCAGGATGCTCGAGATGACTTCTGTACCAGAACCGGTTTTACTGCAAAGGTCCTTTACAATTATTACGTCCATTTTTGCTTCCTTCTCGGCAGCCGCTGCACAGACTTCGCCTGCTGCTACTGCTGCCGCCGCTTCAGGTATCTCCCCGTCTCTTAATTGATTCGCTGCCGACGACCGATCAACATTTTTGTTTGCGTTAACAGGCACGCCCAAACGCGGCGTGTCCGAACCTGAGACGGTGGTGGTGGTGGTGGTGGTGGCGGCGGCGGCGTAAGAGACACCCTCCCCAACCGTTCGGGGTTTCTTCACCGAACTCTCAGACCCTGGAGGCACGGCGGAGCTCTCGCCCACGCGCTCGCGATCCGGTGCTGGCAGCTCCGCTCGATTATCCTGCTCGCGCAAGACGCCCGCAACATTCCCTTCGCCCTCGGGTGCCGCGGGATCAGGCGCCGGGTCCTCTCCCCCATTCTTTGCGCCACCCTGAATGGGCAGGGAGGCGCCCATGTCATCGCCACGACCGGTGAGCTGACGGCCGCCGCTCGCTGGAGTTTGCGTTGCCCCCTCCGTAGCGTCTGACTCTGCCACACCGGGCGCTGCTTTCTGATCGGCGCATTCCTCTGGCATGTTGCACGCTTTCTCATGCGTGGAATTCAGCCCGCCCTCGGGTTTGGTCTCCGAATCACCGGAGAGGACTTTGTCCTGTTTCGAAATGGGTTTGGCTTCCGCGGGCTTTGACGTCGGCATTTTTCTAGAGATAACCGGGCTTCGTTGACTCGCTTCCTCGGTGGCTTTTGGTGACGCCCTGGAGTTAATGTCACTGCCCGTGAATGGGTTAGACCTACGGTCCCGCACGTTTATTCTCGCCTTGCCCACACCACTCGCGGCGTCAGAATCTTTCTCTTTCGGACTCGACGGAGGTGAGCTGCCCTTTGACGAAGTCACCTGAGATGTCCGATTGCCCTGAACCACCACTGTCTTCTTGGTCTTGGTGTGCTGCGAAATCTGCGTTTTCACGGACTGAGAATTCTCATTGTCAAAAATTGTCGACAAGCCGGAGCCCACTTTGTCCTTGGGTGTCACGATCTCCTCGATTGTCACAATTTCCGTTTCCTCAATCACCACCTCCTTGGGATGATTCCCTTGTCCCTGGCCGTCGGCCGCCTGCCCCGCAGTCCCTTGCTCGGATGCGGCCAGCGTCACCTTGGCCTTGAGAGAGCGGACGGCCTCTCCGTCCTCCTTGCCATTTACCCTGGGCAGCCTCCCCGGGGTCTTCCTCAGCACCTTGCTCCTCTCCGCTCCGTTCGCACTCCTCGCGGCGTCCGACTGGGACGCCTCCTCCGAGTTGTTCGCCTCGCTGGCCGAAGCGGATTCCGCCCCACTGTCGTCGAAAAACTTGGAGTTGGGCCGAGGCCTCTTCTTCAGCTTCGCGGCGCCCTGGTACGTGGCGTACGACACCGAGCCGCCCCGGGGGCCCGTTTCTGGCCCTTCCATTGGAACGTCCTTCATCCTCGACGCTGCGCTGGGTGCTCGGGGTTCACCACCCGCATCCTCGACACCCTCCATGGGCTCCTCTCCTCCTCGCGCACGGCTCGGGCCCATGCCTGTCGTCGCAGCCTGCCGACCCGTTTCCGTAGATTTTAAAGGAGAGGGTCGGTCTTTCTGAGGCCTGACCAGCCTGATCGTCTTCTCCGTCTTCTCCGTCTTGTGTTCCTCCTCCGTGTCATTTCGCGCTTGCTTCGCGGCCTCGGTGGATGTGGCCGACCTGGCCACCTTGGCAGGTGGATTAAGAGGTTTACGGTGGGTTTCCTGCAAATGAAATAAAATCGGTCACCGATGATACAGCCACTTTCACATATTTAGCCAGGATCGCATTCATTCAAGACTAATTTTCAAGGGGGTGCTGCTTTGTCAAGTTTGGCCAATTGATGTTTGCATATAATTTGTGTGTGCCAATGGACACTACAGTTACAATCCAAATTATAAGAGGGCAGACTACTCCCATAAATAATACTTTGCAGTCTTTTGTTAATCGACCACCACACTGGTCGGTACGAATTGATGGAAGCAAGTGCCCAGGACTAGTTCGAATATCACACCACCGATGTTTGCAAGTGGCCAGGTATTGACTTCAGATCACTGGATTAAGAGCACAGTGGGTTAACCACCATTCCTCTCGATGAGTAAGAGTGACGTTTAGGTAATAGGAAAATGATGAACTCTTTAAGTACCATCGTTATAATCTGCCAAGCAGTTAAAAGGGCGAGAATTCCCCCCGTAAGACTATTTTGGAGATAGAGTAGCTTCGGGAAACATGCGTTTGGAGACGCAGTCACGTGTCGTTGTGTAAGAATACAAAAGAAAAACTGCATGACAATTATTAGTGAAAGCAACAACAAAGAAAGTCAACACATTCGTCCACAACGCCGTTTGCTTTAAAAGAATAAATATATAATAGGTGGACGTTTTGGGGCATCGGCCTTTCATCATGGGACACGTTTGTTGTGAAGATGGGCCACTGTCCGAAATGTCACCGAAATTATTTCAGCACGAATGTGTTGAGTTTTATTGTTGTTGTTAATTGTGCATCACTGCCAACGCAGCAGCAGCAGCAGCAACATCACCAAATAATGTGTTAAATCGGTCGGTGACACATGCTTTTGTTATACATCGATGTGCCCACAATCGGTATCAGAGCTGCAGAGGTAATCATTCAGACACGCCGGTTTCAGTACGCACAGAGTCACAAAGAGACACGACGCATCCCATTGAAAACCTTCAATTATCGAGTTCGGATTTCAAGTTGAGATGAACAATAACTGCACACACATAGTTATCATGAATTATTAGTGGAATATTAGTTAAACATTATAAAAAAAAAGCTGTTTCAAAAGTCTGGAACTGTGGCATGAAATTCGAAGAAAACTTTCCACTCCAATGAGAATGGAGCAGTGCTCATTTCCAGTTTACAGCACCCCGCCAGTGACAGAAATTCCACATCCCCATGGTAGGAATGCGCGCAAAGTGGCACGGATTAACTCGCAAACATATTGCGAGCCATCCACCGACAACTTTGACATTAACAATGTGATCGGATCAGTGAATGGGGAAATGCCGAGGTGGCGCCAGCGCCAACTTTTGAAACAGCCGCCCACGGATTCGCGAATCAGACAAGAATGCGCATTCACCGATTTTCAAATGCGCAGCAGACAGCAGAAAACAATATCGATTCCACCAAAACATTGCAGGATGTCGCAATTGTTGGTTTAATGAGAATCTGTTAACACCAATCAACTGCCCTTTCCACAGAGATGGGCCCTCAATTAGTGAGACTCAAACAGGGTTAATAAGAAATTAGCACAACAGGATCCAGTAACGTAAGACCGGTTTCCCCTCGCACAGTACGTACGTCGTGTGCATTGCTTGCTTACAAGTATACGGTTCTCTGACTGACAAAAGCCTCCTCGTCTTCGCCGTGTGAAAGCTGTGCCTCGTCTGACCTCGTGCTGCCCCTTCCAGCCTTGTCTATGAAGGCCGACGAGCGAAACTGTCCGAAGGTTTTCTCCGGACCGCTCCGTGGGCTCTGCGGGCTTTGTGGGCTCTGCGGGCTCCGCGGCCCTCGGGGATCCTGGGGGCTCCTGGGAGCCCGGGCCGCGGTCGAGGGTTTCCGCCGTGTGCCCCCGTCGCTGTCGTTACCGCTGCCGCCGCCGCCACCGCCGCCGGCAGTAGCAGTGGCATTTGAAGACAGTTGCGGGGACGGAGAGGTGTCCATGTCGTCGCCGGAGCCTCGCGCCGCTTCTCCGACCTGCAGCGAGCTCCTGTACAGCTGCACCACAGACAGACGAAATGCACGCACGGGGATAGACAGACGCGCACGCACAGGGGCAGACAACATGCACGCACAAGGACAAACAATGGGCACGCACAAGGAGAGACAATGGGCACGCACAGGGACAAACAATGGGCACGCACAAGGAGAGACAATGGGCACGCACAAGGAGAGACAATGGGCACGCACAAGGAGAGACAATGGGCACGCACAGGGACAGACAATGGGCACGCACGGGGACAAACAAGCGCACAAAACGTGGAGTGACGCAAACACGGGAGTGACGAACATTTGACGCGCGCGCAGATGCGTGTACATGAAGATGCACATGTGTGGACAATAAGCATGGACAGATACAAAGACAAAGATCCCCCGTATAACCTTTAACAGACTGTTGGGTAAAGCACCTTTGTCTCCCTAGTGGCAATGCTTACACATTGCACTCATTTGAGGCCGAGTCGACCTAGGGAAGGCCCAGGACCGGTTCGGATAATCGTCACCTGTGTTGACCATGAGCGGGAATCGAACTCGGGTCGCCGAGTTTGTAGCGCAGCGCACTAAGCGCTGCGCTCCCGTTCCCCACATGGACAGACACACGTATGGAGAGATACACGCATGGGCAGATACACACGTGGACCGATACGCTTGGTGCCTACAAGCACACGTGGACAGGCAGATGCACCCACTGGCAGATGTGAGGTACACCGGGCAGGAGTCAAAAACGTAACGTCGTCATTCACGAGCTCCCTGCACGAATGCAGCGGCTTGGATAAGGGGTCCGTTGATCACGTGGCGACGTGTCTACTGTGTGAATGACACACCTGCCTTGCGGTGCAATGGGGAGGTGCAGTATGGCAAGCAGGTTAAAGGAAATGCCTCCACTCCCCCGAGAATGTTAAAATTACAAAGACCCCCTGGTAATAGTGTAAACAGGCTGTCGGGGAAAGTGCCATTGGAGAGCATTCGTGGAGGCTGGGCACAGCACACAAAGGGGGTGGGCTTATGGCCAGTACCATAGCCGGCCGCATTTGTCTTCCCAACACTGTCAGATTGTACTAGGTATGCATCTAAGGCTGAGCTGACCTAGGAGAGGCCCAGGACAGGTGCATATGTTCGCCGCTACTCATTTTGGCCGTAAGCGGTATTTGGACCGCGGATTGCCCGGACCGTAGCGCTGCGTGCCAACCACGACGCATCGCTCCCCCATATTTTTAACAAACGCCCACTGACATGCACATATATATGTACGTACATTAAGACGTTATTGGCTGTTGGAACCTAAAATGCTTAAAGCCAGAGGCAAGGAGACAGACAGGAGTGGCAGATGACATTAAACAAAGATTGGATTTTTACTCCTGCACCACAGTGCCTGTTCTCATCATTACTAACTGCGCACTTACTTGCCAATGTGTTAAGCAAAAACAAACTCCTTCTGTTCTGATTCCGCCGTCGGGGTCACGTCATGGGACGAAGTGTCCACGCGCAACCCTTGCACACAGCCAATGTCGGGCAACGGCCCGCAGAAGGCGATATCACAGAACAACTTTTGAAATCGCTTTTTATCGACGTCCTATGCTCACTCGGGAGAAACTGCATTGTTTCCGCTTGTCCTGTTCATTACATGGCAGTCAAAGTAAAAAAGAGTGATTGTAATTCTTAGAGATAAAATGTTTTTTCCAACTTAAGCGAAAAAAAAGGTTTAAAAATGATATTTATTTTCCACAGGCATTTGACGACAAGGCCGAGACCAATAATCACCTTGCTGCACTCGAGAATATGATTTAATCACAAGCGGCTGTAATTAAAACCTAGAACAAAACCCCAAGATAACAGCAGCAGTACAAAGCTCAGTGCTTGCACCCCAAAGCCAGCCAGCTACCTTTCGACACTTGAGATTATCTTCATTGAAATAATAAAAGTAATAATTTGATTTTTTATTGTTATTTGTTTTTCGTTCATTCATGCTACGTAGCCAACCGCACTTCCGTTTAGCGCGGCTGGCTGCGTGCAGCGCGACAGAAGTTCAACGTACGCACAACGAAACATCGTATTCATGAAAAGTCGGGAAATTAAGAACGTTTGAAAAGGTGGTGAAATAAACCCAACCTTTAATGCCTTCTAAAAACCAATAAACTACGCAAACAGCATCAGCAATTCAGCAGCAGTTGCATCACAGCGAGCGGGAAAGGGAAACGCGGAGTGTTTGTTTCATTCTGCGGGCATAGTTGAGTTTTATGAATGATGGTTTTGTAATGGCCAATGAAGAGCAACTGTGAGAGATTAATTTCTACGTGGTGGTTCATCCACTCACGTTGCTTTATCCAAGAGCTTTCTTTGGAATGAAGCCAAAGCAATAACCGTAAATTTTATAACAAAATCAAGTTAAGGCCGAACAAGCATGTTTGAATACTCACGACATCTCACCGTAAACGTTAACAACACCCGACATTAATATAGTTTGCAAAGGTCTTAAACAATTCGAAGAAACCTATAATTTTCGCTTGACATTTGTGGGTGGTTTATTATCGGGCATCCCGTGTGCTTTAATTATTTATTGGGGGGGGGGGGGGGGGGGGGTAAGGAATGTGCCACAGGCAGTAGGCCCTAAGCTGCTTAGTTTCGGGCTCAGCAATCTGTGTGCTTTGCTGAGCCCTCAGAGCAGAGAGGAACCTTTCAATGATCAGCTTCCAAGAGGGCACACGAGAAGTCCCGTGTTATGCAACCGCAGCACTCTGGTGTTTTGACAAAACATCATTCAGCTCAAGTGGTAAAGTTCACCGACAGGTTTACACACACCGTGAATTGCCCCACTGGACAAAGAACCGTAATCGTAAAAAAATAAACACCCCACTTTATTTATGAACGTTCTTTACGAAGACTGGATGCAATTTTTTTTGAGAATTGGTACGACTAATACGGGTTCGCCCATGACTAAGCTTCGGTGTGACTAATACAGTAATTTGTGCATTTGGAAAGAATAAGAATAGTTTTGCTTTGAATGTTCAGCTAATTCCCTGGCAATGACTGTCTAAGGCTGAAGACTGCTTGGAAAATGCACAAGCATGTAATAATCATGTTTCATTTTACCGAGGACAGGCACGCCGAGTCCGAGGTGTATTTGTCAGGAGGGTCCTGCATCGGGTTCTTCTCTATTTCAGCCATTTCATGAGTACGTATATACATGTGGGGGGGGGGGGGGGGGGAGACCGGAGCACCCGCAGAAAACCCACGCACATGACGGGGCAACGCTCTCCCTATACAGATGGAATAAGGTGGGAGATGAGTCCGCTTGCTGTGCTGCCTTCTCTTCGCAAGCCAGGGCAAGGCACCTCGACGCCCACGTGAAAGGCAGTTTCACAACTGCTGTGCGACCCACCAAACCCTCGCTGCCTCCACAATGCTCGATTGCAGACACGTGGCCTCCTCAGAGCTCAGATAATCATTTGCTGTGGTGCCCACAAATGGCACTACCTCAATTCCCTGAAAAACACATTGTTCGGTGTGTATGTTGAACTTCTTTCGCACCGTACGTAGCCAACCGTGCTAATCGGAGGTGCAGGCGAAAGGAAACAAATTAAACACAAAAAGCACTTCTCAAGAAATGACTTTTCGTTCTAGATTTCAAAATGCATGGCTCCGGTGGCTTCCTTAATATCCGAAGGAAGAGCGTTCCAGATGGCCACATCAGCGCATCTGAAAGTGCGCGATGCGGTGACAATCTTTGCCCGATGGCTAGTGACACACATGAAGACTTCATCTTGTGCATGAACTACTAACCCTAACTGTTGGATTATGGACATGAGCCACTATACCTTACTAATAATAGCATACGACGGTTCGATTGCAACACAAGCAATCATCATCGGGTACAAATGAAAGAGAAAACAAAACTTAGTAAACTTAGAAATGTAATGCAATACAACACAGATAGTTGGCTAACATAACAGTCAACACCCTACCTGGTTGATTACGTTCTTGTAAAGATTGCTAAATTTAAGAGAGAGATTAAACACAGAACCGGAGACACATAGACAGACACGTAAGCAGAGAGAGACAACACAGAGACACACAGAGAAAAACAAACACATAGGCCCAAAGAGAAACACAGAGGCGTTGTCTCCGGTTCTGTGTTTAATCTCTCTTTTAAGTGTAGCAATCTTTGAAAGAACGTAATCAACCAAGTTTTGTTTTCGCTTTCATTTGTACCCGATGATGATTGCTTGTGTTGCAACCGAAACTTCGTATGCTATTGTTTAATTCATTAGTTTCTCTTTCTACGTGACTTTACCGAAAGAACCAAAGAATAGTTTGTAAAGTAGTCAACTGTTTGCGATTCCCCAGGCAAAGGTGAGTTTTGCAAAAGCCCCGTGACATTTACAGCATCAACACAGCAATGGTTGTGTGTGCGGTCCAACAGGTTATCAGAACATCTTCGCTAAAAAGGGTGTCGCTTGTCACCTGTGCAGTCACAGTGACCGAGACAAATCGCTGTCGCAAATCACTTTCAGGCGTTGACTGTCAGGGACGCTGCCTTGCATGGCGTAATGATTAGCGGTATAAATGGGTTCAACACAGATGGTCGGCAGGCCGTGTGTAGTGGGGCAGAGTCTGGGTACTCGTGCCTCTTCCAAGACATCTGGCTGGCGTGGAAGAGTAGGCCAGATAGCTTCTAGTGGGGCTCACTAAAGCTCTCTCTAGCCGAGGCCATTCTGCCGGCAGTGGTGTGATCCAGCAATTGCACGACTGCCCCTCTTACCTTACATTTTAATCGACTATATTGTGTCTCCACTTGGCTTTTAGCTTCGCATTGAACAGAGACGGTCACCGTATCGCCCGCATTCAGATGCGCTTCTGCGACCGTCTGGAACGCTCTTCCGTCCGATATGAGCAAGCCACTGGAGTTATGCACTTTTGAATCATCCAGATTAACAACTAACTTATTTAGAACTGCTTTTTGTGTTTAGTTTGTTGTCCTTCCCCAGCACCTACGATTAGCA